AGAGAGAGAGAGAGAGAGAGAGAGAGAGAGAGAGAGAGAGAGAGAGAAGGGCAAAGAACATTCTTTTTACCTTTCATTATACATGCCTTAACAAAGCCATGTGTGGTTATTTAATATTTCATGTAAGAATAAGGGCTTTGAAAATAGTCCTGATAATTATTCTGATTTTAGCTCAAAAAAAGAAGAAAAAACAATAGCGAGTAAACCTCACCATTCCCAGCTATTACACTCTCCCCTTCCACGCAGTCATCATCGTTTTGACATTGTCCATCTGGCACCTTGAAACTCTGAAATAGGTGCAATAAAGTATTTTCAAATAATGCTCTGAATAGAAAAAATGAATATATTCCTGTGTATATCTACTGACCTCAGCACAGAAACCCAGCCTCTGGTTGGGGGTCTCTATATAATTTGTTACTATGAAGAACACCTGCTCACCCTGCAAAATCCAATCAGGCCCAGAGAGAAAAAGCAAAAGGTTAAACAAATTATGCTGCAAAACAAGTTTAATTGTGTTTAATTTGTTGAGACAAGTGCTGAGGATAATGATACATGGCAAAACTGACACTCAACCTCCTAATGTGTCTTGGCAGGACCAGGCTCAGCAGTATACACAGGTAGACTCACATTTGGAGGTATGACATAATCCTCAGCACTCCACAGGTAAGGCCCAGCCTCTGAGGTGTTGGTCTGAGTGACACCTTTAAGTTTGGTGATGACTGAGGTCTGGATCGCCTCATCTCTCTCCTGGTATCCTTTCTTCACAATAAACACCCACCTAGGATACATTCAAAGCATCTTCATAATTCATCGAGTTTTAGAAACCTTCACTTTGTTTGTCTGAGTCCTGATTGCCTTCCACAGTTTAAAGGATACAGTGCTCACACATTCACAAATGTATTAACACAATGCCAAGATGGAAAGACATCAGCAATTACCTTAGAGAGGCATCTGTTGCTGCCCATCAATCTGGAATTTCTTGTCTTTTCCAAATAATTTGGAGTTCATTGCTTTACAAAGAAGATTTATCCACATGTGGAAACCATTTAAGGATGCTTACAGTCTCCCAAGAGCAGATGTTCCAGCAAAATCATTCTTTCTTTCACCCCGTTTATTCATTTTATATATAAACGATTGTCACAGCCAGTTCCTAAAGCGTCACATCTTAAAGTTTGTTGATGACTCTGTCATCCTGTCCCTCCTCAGCATTGATGACACAATGCCTGTTGTCGGGTACTTCACTTAATGGTGTGAGTCTTCCCTTTTAAAGTTAAAGTTTCTAAGACAAGACAGTTATTGATTTTAGAAAAGACTTTTCAGTTGTCACTCCTGTGGTCATTAACAGTGAAGCTGTTGAGGTGGTGCAACAATATAAATATCTGGGAACTGTTCTTGATGACAAACTGACCTTTGAACCCCATGAGAATAACCTTCAAGAGAATAACCTTCACATCAATGTGAAGAACCTTTGCAGATCTGACCTCAGCAGAAGTAAGGAGTACCTTCAGGAGGATTAATCCGCACAAAGCAACCGGCCCAAACAACATCCCCGGAAAAGTGTTGAAAGAATGTGCCGATCAGCTCTGCGAGGTGCTGGCAGACATCTTTAACACCTCACTTACCCTGGAGACAGTTTCTACCTGCCTGAAGACAGCCACTATCATCCCAGTTCCAAAAAGCTCTACAGTGACTGGTCTTAATGACTATCGGCCAGTGGCCCTCACCCCAATAATTGCTAAATGCTTCGAAGAACTGATCATGACCTGCATCAAAACAACCATCAACATCAACGAGGACCCTCATCAGTATGCATACTGTGAGAACTGATCAACAGAGGATGCCATCTCCTCTGTGGTCCACACTGAGCTCAACCACCTGGAGCAGAAAAACTCTTACGTCCGTATGCTCTTTGTGGACTTCACATCTGCCTTGAACACCATGATTCCCCCAAACCCTGATGGACAAACTATTCACACTAGGACTAAGCCCCCTCCATCTGCAACTGGGTACTAGACTTTTTAACAAACAGACCACAGTCTGTGAGGATCCACAACTTCTCCTCCTCCACCATAACCCTCAGCACTGGCTCTCCTCAAGGATGTGTGTTGAGCCCCCTCCTGTTTACTCTGCTCACATATGATTGTGCAGCTACCCATCCAGGCTGTCACATTGAAAAGTTTGCAGATGATACAACGGTGGTGGGATGCATCACAAACAACGATGAGTCCAGCTACAGGCAGGAGGTGGAACACCTGCAGAGCTGCTGCAAAGAGAATAACCTTCACATCAATGTGAAGAAGACAAAGGAGATGATTGTGGACTTCAAAAGGAACAAAAACACCTACACCCCCCTGAACATAAGAGGATCTGCAGTGGAAGTGGTCTCCAGCTACAAGTACTTGGGTGTACACATGAATGACAACCTCAGCTGGAGCAACAACACCACCAGCCTGATCAAGAAAGCTCATCAGAGACTCTACTTCCTCAGACAGCTGAGACGAGCTGGTCTGGGAAGCTCAGTCCTCACCTCCTTCTACAGGTGTGCAGTGGAGAGCATCCTGTGCTCCAGCATCAACGTGTGGCATGGAGGCTGCACACCTGCAGAAAGAAAAGCTTTGCAGAGAGTGGTGAAGGCTGCATAGAAGTCTGTTGGAGTTAGCCTCTTCACCATCACAGACATTTACACCTCCAGATGCAGGAAGACGGCCACCTGCATCATGAAGGACCCCACTCACCCAGCACACACTTTTTGCCCCGCTCCCCTCAGGAAGGATGTTGAGGAGCATTAAGTGTAGAACCACTAGACTGAGGAACAGCTTCTACCATGAGGTTGTTAGACTCATGAATCTCGAACCAGGATAATCACTGTGAAGAATCACATCATGTTGCTGCTGATCTGTTTCATGTTGCTGCTGATCTGTTTCATGTTGATGTATTCATGCCTGCTCATCTGCTCACACAAACTCATGCTCATGTTCGTGCTGCTGTTCAACATAATTTTTTATTAGCTATTAGTGCTTAGTGTATTTTAATTTATGTTTTTCTTAGTTCATATCTTAGATGTTATTACTGTTTTTCTTTTACATTTTATTGTTGGATGTAACTGGGACCCTGTGTACATAATTTCATTCCACCACATGTACCACATGTGGTGCGAACGACAATAAAGAATTTCTGATTCTGATGTGAACTCACGTTTTGTAAGGCCCACCAGAGAATGTATTTTTATCAGAAGCTCTGTGGTTTTAATGTTGATTCTACTTTTATGAGAATGTTTTGTTCAAATTTTATTGAGCCTCTTAACTTTTACCTTCATTTGTTGGTTTGGACTTTTGACATATAAGAACAGGAACAAACTCTCGGGGATTGTCAGGATGTGCAGCAAAACTGCTGGCATAGTCCTACAGAACCTCACTGACCTACACAAGACAAGGTCAGTGAGCAAGGCCAGGCTGATTCTGGCAGATCCTGATCATCCACTCCATGGTGAGTTCAGGTTCCTTCCATCTGGACGCAGGTATCTGCTGCCCAGATGTAGAACGACCAGACTGAAACACTCATTCATCCCTGTATAGATCAGGCTTCTCAACGAACAATGATGATTTCTGTTCTGTTATTTTAATGTCTTGTCTAGTACGGATGTTTTACACCTACTGACTGTGACACAATTCGCCCCTTGGGGATAATAAAGATTCTTGAATTTAAAAGGTCACACTGTACAATGCTTGTGCAATGCTTGGGGCAATGAAAAAACAAAAACGAAAGCTCCATCTCAGAATCTACAGGCCTCAGCAGGTTAAACACCAAAGTTAATGTAAGGACAATTATATATATAAAAAAACTGGACAATTATGACTTGTTGGAAAGTGCTGCAGGAGAAATCCTCTTCTCTCTAAAAAGAAAAAGGCAGTTTGACTTTGGTTTGTAAAGTTTCATTTGAATGGAACACTAAACTTTTGGAACAATGTCCTTTGTCCAAATTAGCCCAAGTAGAGATGTTTGAGTATATTAGTTAGACAACACCATGTTTAGAGAAAATAAAACAGCATATCATCACAAACGCCTCACACTGCCTTTCAAGCATGGTGAAGAAGGGGTGATGGGCTTGTTTTGCAGCTACAACACCTGGACACCTGAAGTCTCTATGAATACCAAATTATTCCAGAGTTAAACATGAGACCATTTGTTCAACTGTTTGGACAAAATTTGATCAGGAAGGAAGGTGCTGAAAAGAATGTGCCGATCAGCTGTGTGAGGTGCTGGACGACATCTTTAACTCCTCACTTACCCTGGCAACAGTTCCCATCTGCCTGAAGACTGCCACCATCATCCTACTTCCTCTGCAGTGATTGGTCTGAATGACTACCAGCCAGTAGCTCTCACCCTGATAATCGCTAAATGCGTTGAAAGACTGGTCATGACCCACATCAAAACAACCATCAACATATAATAATAATAATGAATAATCACTGTGAAAAACCATATCATGTTGCTGCTGATCTGTTTCATGTTGCTGCTGATCTGTTTCAATGTTGATGTGTTCATGCGTGCACATCTGCTCACAGACTCATGTTCATGTTTGTGCTGATGTTCAATGTTTTTATGAGTGCTTAGTGTATTTTTAGTTGATGTTTTTCTTAGTTCATATCTTAGATGTTATTACTGTTTTTCTTATACATTTTATTGTTGGATGTAACTGGGACCCTGTGTACATAATTTCGCTCCACCACATGTACCACATGAGGTGCGAATGACAATAAAGAAACTCTGACTCTCTGACTCTGAAACATCAACGAGGACCATCACCAGTATGCGTACTGTGAGAATCTATCAACAGAAGACCCCCATCTCCTCTGTGGTCCACACTGCTCTCACCCACCTGGAGCAGAAGGACTCCTACATCTGTATGCTCTTTGTGGACTTCCCATCTGCCTTCAACACCATGATCCCCCAAACCCTGATGGACAAACTACTCACACTAGGACTAAGCCCCTCCATACACAACTGGGTCCTGGACTTCTTAACAAACAGACCTCAGTCTGTGAGGATCCACAACTTCTCCTCCTCCATCATAACCCTCAGCACTGGCTCCCTTCAAGGATGTGTATTGAGCCCCCTCCTGTTTATTCTGCTCACAAATGACTGCGCACCTACCCATCCAGGCTGTCATATTGTAAAGTTTGCAGATGATACAGTGGTGATTGGATGCATCACAGACAACAATGAGCCCGGCTACAGGCAGAAGGTAGAACACCTGCAGAGCTGGTGCAGGAAGAACAACCTTCACATCAATGTGAAGAAGATGAAGGAGATGGTAGTGGATTTTAGACAAAACAAACACACTTACCCCCCCCCC